AACGTCGTCATTGTGAACGACCTATAACCGTCAAGGACTTTGACACCATGCAGAACGTTATCAGGTCACTTCGACCTGATAAGAACTTTGAGGGTGCCAAAGACAGCCGATCTGGTACTACATGGATAACGGTCATGTATCACGAGACGGAAAGACATCCTGACGTAGTGAGGTATCTATGGCTCAAGAAGTACACGTCCTCTAGGGTGTGGAAGGAGGTAACTACCGGACTAACTCCTTCTTCACGTTGTTATCAAGACTATGAACGACAACTCAAGAAGATCCTCAAGCAGCTCCGCAAGACGTTTGACACTGACGAGCATCTTCACAAGACTGAACGTCAGTTCAACAACTGCGTTCAGGGCACTGACTCTGTCTACGTCTTCATCGAACGTCTAGAAGACCTTAGTTCTGAACTCTACCATCTCGGTTCCCCGGTCTTGGAGTATAAGATGAAGTGGAAGCTCTACAATGGTCTCAAAGGCTCTGAACTACGACTTCGTGTCAACGATTACCCCGACGACAGGGAAGTCGACTATATGGAGTTAAAAGAAGTCGTATTACGTCAGCATAGACGTATGGCTAACATCAACGAGACTACTGAGAGCTCCCGGTCCTTCGACAAGAAGGCCAGAGACGACTCTAGAGTAGCTATGGTAGACGGAGTGAAGACAGTGGTTATCGTAATCGCCGACCTTGGCAACGACAAACCTCTTACTCTAGACGTGAGTCTGTCAACTCGGTCGAGGCTGGTTACTCCACAGATGACAACAAGACCCGTGAGCATCACGTCAATATGGGACGTGATCTTTCTGGTATAAAATGTTATCGATGTCTCAAACGTGGACATTCTGCTAAAGATTGTCAATAACCAGAACCAGCCGAGCTCTCAGCACGTTGTCGAATCTGTGGCAACCCACAACATCAAGCCGACACGTGCAGAATCAAGAGCGACAAATTGATCTGCCATCGCTGCAATAATCCTGGTCATTTGGCTTACGTGATACGTGATACGGCTTTGGAGGGCACTGTCGTTATTAAGCCCTACCATTATACGCCATCACAGATGGTCTTTAGAGACAGTCATCCTACGACGCCTTGTCGTACCGTTCTAGACTTCCGTACGTTGAACAAGTTCACTAAACGTGGCGGTAAGACCCAGAACGACCTACAAGGAGTACTACTACAGCTGAGGAGCTTTCCCTACTTCATCTCTGCCGACGTCTCTAAGGCATTCTGCCAGATGAAGGCTTCATTATACGACGTTGGATATTCCAGTTATACGTGTATTGGGAACTATACTGTCCTATGGTCGAGTATCGCCTTGGGTTGGACGACGACTTGAAGGACTTCAAGAATCTTCTCCTTGAGAAGGTCACCTACAAGGAGCTCGGCATGAAGGGTGGTAAACTAAGAAGGTTGGCTCGTATTTGTTACGTTGACCAACATGGTATAGTCAGACGTCACCCTAGCCCAGAGCGACTCCGCCATGCCGAAGAAGATGACGACGGTGTGATCTACCTTGGTAACAGCAAGTATACGTCAGCCCTCATAAGGATCCTATCGACTATCTATCACTATAAGTACATGCACTTGGGATCACGACGAGTATGTCATCTACTACAACGTCGGTTTTACTGTAAGAAGATGCATAGGCTGGTCAGCTCTTCTCTACGTTGTTGGGACGTTAGTACCACTGGTCACGTACTCGGAGTCCCTACACTACCCCACGACGCTAACCTGAGAGCCCGTAGGTGTCAACGTATACCTATGAGTATTCACTATACGTATCTACGTCTACTTGGCCTCCACAAGGGTACGTTTCTGTTCACGTTGTCCGATCACGCTAAGTCCAACAACTGTATCGACGTGGTTCACGACTTGCACCAGAACCTAGGGGAGTCTATGGCTAACGTCCTTGCCAAGTACGAGCACGCTATTCAGCTACTGAGCGTCGACAGTGTGGATGCAGAAGCACGTCTCGACTCTCTGAGGCAGGCCGAACAACGTATCTACTATCGTGACTACGTTATGATCGAGAACGGCACCAACTAGCTTTTTGGTAGACGACTTCAAGGTTCTATGGTATAACGACTTAGACGACTAGAAGAATTATGTAGACGACTATGGTAATTGATGATGATAGATGACGACTATTAGACTAGTTCATTTTTTTTAATCGTCCTCGTAGCTTTATGAACGTTGGGTGTATACGTCAATTATGATGGGATCTGTTGATACCATCCGTCTTGAACGTTATCGATTATTAAGACGAGCGCTTTTTACGATCACAATTCGCTATGTTCCGTTCATTGTGCTCGCGTCATAGTCGTATAGTCCAACCTATTATCAGTCCGTCCTAATACGAATATCCATGTTAGTTGTCATTCCATTAACTCGGTTATTGGACTCGTACGCCTGATATTCTATCTATCAGTCTACTCCCATAATACCGGTACAGCGAAAGATCCAGAACTTGAGTTAAGAGGTTACATCAAGAATAACCGAGTTATTAGACCATCAGCCGAACGATGACGAGCCCAAGGCGCACTAATAGACGTCGTAATACCCCCCGGAGGACCCCATCCAGACCTGCACCCCCACCGTCGGAGGATTCCGAGGAGAGACTGGGTACCGCTGAGGAGGAGAACCTACCACAAGCGGAGAGCTCTGAGGCCCAGGAGTACCAATCGGTCAATGCTGGGGATGGAGATAGGGTCGAGGATATCGACGAGGGCACCGTCATCAAAGAGGGATCCGTGGAGGCTATACACCAACGACCTTCGGCCCGCAAACTGCTGGAGTCAGTCCTCAATCCTGTGGGTTATGCTCGCCGTGAGGAATCTGTGATCAACCAGATCCTGGCGGCAACTCAGTATGCTCAATGGTGTGGTTACGAGGACATTAGATGGTGGACGTGGTCCAAGTCACCGTGGAGTCTAAGCAGATATGTTGCTAAAGGCTGGG